GCCACGCAGAATTAAGGCAGTTCTGAAGGCGAAAGGGGGTCAAACACCGTATTAGTATGGTGTTCCTAATAATCCTTTAGGTGAGTGTATATGAACTTAACATGTTTATTGAACATCTTGAACACGAGTCGGATGCATTCCATCCACCACAGAAGTGCAATACCATGGACCCATATCAAAAAGCAAGATTTTTTGCTTACCCGAACAACTTGTCGGATTTAAGGTACCTCAGTGTAAATGGTCTTTATCTTCGTTCACTTATACAATTAGCCCGAACTACCGTAAATCTGACAAATAATCCAATTAATCATGAAATCCAATTCTAGCCTGGTTAATTGCCATTGTTAGCAATAACAGTTGATAACACATTATGTGTGGTGCTTTACGTATAAAACTCCGTAGCAACACATCCACTGATAAGTTGGACAGTATTGTGTGTGCGACCAATTTAATGAGCCACAAATGAGAAGTAGTGCTTAAACAGTATAAAACTACAACTTTCCCTTCTGTTGATAAAGGGCGCAGCCATCTTGGATTCTGAACTCAGGATCCTTTGTGCTGCTCCGAGATATTGTTGCAATCCGAGTCGGATTCCGAGTTTTGAAGCCGGAAGTGACGACATGCGCGCTTCTGTTTCTCGGAGATCCGAGAAATATCTCGGACAGCACAGAGGATCTCTGAGAAATGGATGCATGCATGTCGTCACTTCCGGTTTCAAAACTGGAATCCGACTCGAAATACGAGTTCAGAGAGCAAATGGAACGCACCAAAACTGCCCGAATTCGGTTGACAGAGACATTTCAGAGATTTTGAGTCATTCTGCGCTGCAGATGGGTTAATTGCGTTAAATTTAATCAGATTAATCATGATGATGGATTAATCCGCGTTAACCCGTTAATTTTGACAGCCCTACTATATATATCCAAAATCATCCATTGCTTTTTTTTTTCATATAACTTGCGTTGTCTTACACAATTGCGTGCATTTTTAATGAATTTTCCACTAAACCCTACTCCCATCTCTCAAAACTTTTTTTGCAAATCCCTGTGCTACTAGTTGCTGATAAAAGCGTAAGATACTTCCAGATCGTTACCCTCTTATCTAAATTCAATTCAATTCAATATATTTCTATATAGAGCCTTTCACAACAGAGTCATCCCAAAGCGCTTTATATGGATGTGTTATAATACATAAAACATAATTAGAGAGAAATATAGAGCGGGAAAAAGGAAGGAAAGAAATTAAATAAAGAAAACCAGAAGACAATCTGACGTTCTTATGCTCTTGGTCAAGGGCGTAATTTTGGCTGGAGCATTGGGGGGGTCGAGGTCTCCACCCATTACAGGGGAAACATGATTATTGGGGCGGTTATATTGGCTGGATCTGATTATTGGGGGGGTCATGACCCCCCTAACCCCCCTGGAATTTATGCCCATGCTCTTGGTACCACAAAGGTATGCACATGACATCACAGCAGGTGGAAGTCACCACGCTCACACCCACTGAGTAGTGGCACTGTTAATGTTAAGCTTGAATGCCACAAAAAACACACTGAAATGGGAAAGAGCAGTTGTGCAATTGATTGTACAAATAGGTTTAACATGAAATATGAGCCATCTTTTTAGAGACTGCCAAAAACTAAATAGGTATCGATATGAATTGGTCACATGTGGCCAATTCCTGATCTGTCAAATAGGTCAGGATCAGCGCCGATACCGATCCTAATATCAGACCGGTGCTTCTCTATTTCGAACATTTGTATTCATGTTTTTTTTTTTTGCCCATTTCAAACGTTTTTCCTTGTGAGCTTTTGTTCAATCAGTTAGTCTTTATTTATGTAGCACTGCTTTAACCACAAAATTTGCACTGTGATTTACAGACATTTAAAATACCACCAAAATGCAGGACCTTAACCTCCCACGTTCGCGTTAGGGGACTTTGCAATCTGGTTTTCATTGTGGACCACTATCTCTTGTCCTTGTGCAAGGGGACACAAACCCCTGCTACACTGGGACCCAAATCTAGTGTTCTCTGGGGGAAACAAACCCCAGTCAATGTAGATGAAGAAGGGACCCAAACCCTCCTCCTACTTGTGGGAAACGATACACCAAATTTCACAATTTGCAGTACCACTAAACCACCCTTTCTGGTTGTCGTACAAGGGCACATGAACCCCTGCCACACTGGGACCCAAACCCAGTGTCTTCAGAGAGACTCCTGCCTCAGAGTATTTGGGGTTGTTAACAAAGGGACCCAAGCCCTCCTTCTACTTGTGGTACACAACATTAACCCTTGTCTCACCAGGGACCACTGGTTAGGCGTGGTTGTAACACAGCTTTTTGCAGAACTGCACCCTCTGCAGGATCTTACATAAAGAGCTTCCTGGGACTCCAGAGACACCCTCTGTATCAAATACCTGTTTGCTGCTTAATGTTTTTGTTATGTTTAGAGCTCCCCTTTTTAAAACATTAATTTGTCTAGGTGAAACTTCCCTCAGCTTGCCATTATCTGACCGAACTTGTTTGTGCTTTCAATTGCTCATAAATACATATGAGTTGCCTTGAGTCATCACCTATGTACCACTATATTGACATCGTCTCTGTGCCCTGAACCAAAAATAGTTTATGGTGTCCAAGCTGACTAATAACCAGACTACTACTCAAAGTGTGCCCGTGTTTTTTTCCAGTGACTATTTTTTTTAACCAAAAAATATGGTAAATTAGACAGAACATTTTAAATATTCCAATAACTACATTCTCTGGCCTTGACACGGCCTGTGCTAATGTTGCAGCCGCCCTATTTGAATCATTTACTGTGGTTAACCAATCAGAACTGATGTCCTTAATCTTATCTTCAAATTCATCTACTTATATGCTAGACCAGGGGTATTCAACTAAAATTTAAAGAGGTCTAGTTAGAGAAAATTTCTTGAAGCAAAAGTCTGGAAAATCATAATGTCTAACTATTTAGTGTGATATATATTTAAGTAGCCTATTAGTTGTATCAACATTGCATTTAATCAATACCTGTCAAATCAAATTAATTCAGTACAATTCAAATACTTTTTGACAATATTTACTGTCACTTGACATAGAACTGAACGTATATATATATGACTGCCGATATGTATGATGTTGAGTGGTATCACATGGGATGACTTAACTTGCATGCAGTTGGTCTGTGCATTTCCACAGCCATTAACGAACTGCCGGAGTCTCCTTTAACAGCCAGCAGCATGTTTTTCGTCGTATCACATCTTTCGTTTTTGTCAATGGGCCATCACCGCTAATCCTCACAGCAGCAGAGTTACTGTCACCCTAAAAAGCTGCAAAACCCTAATACAGTCACATTTGTCATATATTTTAGTGTTCATGGATTTAAGTATTGGTTTCGATAATGCCACACCAGTAATAAAATTAAAGTCTTGTTTTAAGATAAATACATATGAACCCATCACTTTAATTGCTATTAGAGTAGGATGTGGGCGGTCTTATTTTGAAAAGATATTAAACGTGATGTTATGTTTTTCTCATATTTGTTTTATATTTGTCGGAGTAACAACACAAACAGAATGACAAGCCGTTTCAGGCAAAAACAGTGCATTTTACTTTTCATTTCAAATAAAACGTGGGGATGCCGACTTCGGCCAGCTGGCTGCAGTGAGATTTTCAATTTGAGATGTCTGCACACATATGTAACAGTTCTTACTTTGTAAATAGTCAGTTTTTCTATTCAACTGTAAATACACTTTTGACTTAGTTAAATTTGAGTTTATAATGGAATAATATAGATTTTCCGTAAGATTTCCTGCGTGATTTCCTCACCAAAACTAACAAATATGATCATATTACCCCAATTTTATCTTCACTCCACTGGCTGAAATACAATTTCATGCTCCCCGGTCGCCCAGAGGAGGATGGGGTTCCCTTCTGTGTCTAGGTTCCTCTCAAGGTTTTTCCTTGCCACTGTCGCCATAGGCTTGCTTGGTGGGGGTTCAGGCCGGTTATATGTAAAGTGCTTTGTGATAATGACTGTTGTTAAAAGCGCTGTATAAGTAAACTTGAGTTGAATTGAACATAGAGGTGGATGATCTTTCTTCAGTTTTCATGAAATATCACTTGTTGCCATGTCTTTTACAAGGCATTGCACTTTTTCATGCTTTTCAGCTTCAGAAAGGGCTTTCTTCATCAAACTATGTGAGAACTGTGGGTTGCTTAATAATGTGGAACACTAAGTAGGTTTCCCTTTAATGAAGATCACCTGACAAACTAATTCACAAAGTTCTTTGAACTTGGACACCAGTTATCTAAAATGACATGAAGAATAACTCTAATTTTACAAAAAAAAAAAAAAAGTATTTTTTCATGAAATCCTACTGATATGTCATTTTCATAATAATTTGGAACACTGTGGACATTCAAATCCTTCTCAGTCCCCATCCAGGTTTTTTTTTTTTTTTTTTTGGGGGGGGGGGGGTCCTGTAAAAGTCATTCTATTCAAAGTGTATGTGTCCTGTGAAAAAGGTTTTTGGGTGCTAGCTTTCTGGTGTGGAGGGAACTGGGACACCACTGGCGCTGAGAACTTTTTGGATGCACTGGTTATTGTTAAATCATGTCACTGGTGTCTGCTCTGGCTTCTCTAGGTTGGAGTAATAGACTTTTCCATGTACCTGAAGAATGACATTGATGACTACAGGAGTGAAGAAAGGTCTGTGCTCCTTGGTGCCCGTGTTGCTCGTATTAAATTTATCTGTAATTAATGGATCATTGTACCCTCCTGGCGTGAAGCCCTTCGGTCTTTAGGGTCATTGATGCTCTGTTTTTTCTCCCTGTAGAAATGGTCAAATTGCTGCTATTCTGGACCAGAAGAACTATGTGGAGGAGCTTAATAGGCAACTTAAGTGAGTGATCTGTTCCTGCTTCCCGAGGTGTGAAGAGATATGAAAATATTGATGTTTGCAACTTTCATTATCTGACGTCAACCAGCTAGAGCTCTGTTTCCATCACTAGTAAAGTGGGGCCAGATCTAGAGAGAGGTGACAGATGTTTTTTTTGACAGCAACCACTCAGAACTCTGCGTGGAGAGCTGAGGGCGGGGGCCCTGGAGGCACTGAGTTACTTGGGCTTGGGTTGGTGGAGGATCCTTTTCTGGCATCTTGAGCGAAAGCAATCACTTACCTGCCAAGCCTTTGCCACTTTCGCTTTTGAAAGCCTGTAACAGAACGAGTCGGGACAGCTTTGGGTGACTCATCCTGCTCAATAGACAGCAACATGGTGTGGATTGTAATAGTAAAGTACTTATATTCACCCTTAGGGGGCATCTTAAATGACTATCCTTTAGGCTCAAATGTTTGAAAAATATCCATAATGAATTTACATTAGTGGGTGTTTTTCTGCATCATTAAGCAAGACTGTAGGTGGACTGAATGAGAATGTCACTAACAACTGTAAATAACATTTAGTAAATCGTATTTGACCTTTTTGAAACAGAATCGTGTGCATTCATTCCTGCATCAGATTGTTTTTGGAGATTTGCATGTTGTATAGCAAAAATACAGTGTCACACTAATGTGAATTGGCTACATTGCTTAAAATTGACAGAGATCCTGCAGCTTGTATAAGGGGAAAAAAACAATAAATAAAGAATTAGCTGCACAAGACTGATGAGTGTGATCAGACTGTAAGAAGGTGTACAAGCCTCGAGCTTTCAGGGTTCCTTGGCAGGGGGCGGAGGGTGGGGGCTATTCTAAGCCGGGTCATTGCTGATGGTCTGAATCTCTTCTCTTTCCATAGCTCTACGGTTCAAAGCCTCCAAGGCCGGGTTGACTCACTGGAAAAGTCCAACACTAAGCTCATCGAGGAGGTATGCTCTGGGAGATGCGGCTCATGGGGCCAAGGGCTCTGGTGCTGTCTCTTATGGGCTGTGCTCTTGCGCTACAGCTGGCAATAGCCAAAAACAACATCATCAAGCTGCAAGAGGAGAACCACCAGCTCCGGAACGAGAATGCCTTCATTCTGGTGAAGGCCCAGCAGCACCTGGAGGTAGGAGCCCCCATTCTCAAGATGCTGATCATCCATGGTGCCTGTGACCACTATCCTTCTCTGGGTTCAAGCAGATGGCCCAGGGAGACGTGGACGTGGAACTGGACACCTATAAGCAGTCCCGGCAAGGTCTGGATGAGATGTACAACGAGGCCCGGCGGCAGCTCCGGGAAGAGTGCCAGCTTCGCCAGGTCAGAGGATGTTCCCAGTAGATCATGTGACACATGCCACATATGTGGTTGGTTAGAATGACTATATTGGCTGTCGCCATTCCCAGGCCTCTCATGTCGGGGTCTGGGAGGTGGTACCAACTGACTGGCAGACGTTTGCTGTCCTCTGTGCTACTTGGTGCCACAGGATGTGGAGAACGAGCTGGTGGTGCAGGTCAGCATGAAACAGGAGATGGAGCTAGCCATGAAGCTGCTGGAAAAGGACATCCACGAGAAGCAGGACACCCTTATTGGCCTTCGGCACCAGCTGGATGAGGTCAAGGCCATCAATGTGGAGATGTACCAGAAGCTGCAGGTAGACACTGGTCTGGGTTCTGCTGATGTGTTGGTGTGTTCAGAAAGTGCAGCTTGATGGGGTGGGACAAAAGTGTCAGAACCGCCTGTCTTCTCCACAGCACTCCGATGATAGCCTCAAGCAGAAGAGTGACATCATCACCCGGTTGGAAGAGAAGACCAATCAAATCACAGCAACCATGAAACAGCTGGAACAAAGGTAAAGGGCTTGATGTTTTAGTTTTCTGAAGGAACTGAGCATCTTATCTGTGCTGAAAGCTCCTTAGTCAGTCCAGCCTTCTCAACCATCAAAATGCCCGAGCCAGCAAATAAAGGGCTTCACGAGTTTATTGGCTTGAGTCCTTAATTACTTTTGAGGTGTGCTGGAGGTAGGCTATTCTAAACACATGGAACACCTAGGGAGTCTGGGGTATCAGGATCTCCTGATCTGTGTAGCTGCCATATTGTGGATGTCATCATTGTTGTTTAGTGATCAACTTGCGATGCCAATGTGGCATCTTCTGTTTACCGCGCCCATGTCTGTGTGGACAAACACCAGTACTTGGCTTGGGTCCTTGTCATGTGTCTGTGCACAAGGACCACCTGGGTCGCCTCTTCCGTTTGTTCACTGCCATTGTGTGCGCGATGCTTTGCGGCTACATTGCATAGTGCCCACTTGAGGCAGTTTTTTCTTAGTTCTTTATTTTGGTTTATTAACATGGAGATTCACTGATATTGATGTCCTCTTTCCCTTTTTTGTTCTCCTTTTTCCTTTCTTGTGTCCCATAACTTTATCTCTTAATTTCCTGCATCCTCACCCCCCCTCCCCTCCCCAAACAACATGCCTGTTCACTTGCATTGCCCAGCGACAAGGACCTGCTGAGTCAGACGCGAACCCTCGCCATGTCCTTTGTGAAATGCGCCAGCACAGACACAGAGCACCAATACAAGCTCGTCAAGGACATTTCCTTTTGATTTTGGGATAAGGCCCTTATTTCCCTGTAGTTCTTTGAAAGCAGTTTGGAAAAACACTGCATATCTGTGACAGAGTTTTCGGCACCGCCAGTGATGGGCAGGCTCCACTGTTCACTCGTGTTTTTCCTTTTGTATTTGTTTTTAATTTCCAGAAACAAGCATTTTTTAGTCTGTTTTGTAGAGCAGCACTTCTTGTTGTGATTATATGTGCCGATGACCTTGTAAGGTGGTCCACCACTTCGGCACTTATGGGCAGTATTTACCATGTCATTTGCTGTGTGGAACAATAAAGTTAGATGTTTTGAAGTTTTCCTCATCGTTCCTGGCATGTCATTGATACACAATCACGGCCCTGTGGCAGCAGAACCTCTGATCACTGGCTTTTCCACATAAGCTAAATGAGCCCTCCCCCCAGCCTCCAACACCCACGTCTGAAATCCCTCCACCTTTGTTCCTCCTGTTTTTTAGGATGCAGGGGGCTGCCTATCTTCCTTTTTAGGATTTTTTGAAAATTCCCTCCCCCACCCTTTTTCTTTGCTCATCCTTTTGCATTGTGACCATCCCCACCCCCGACCCTTCCCCTCCCTCTGTGATTGGAGCCTCAGTTTTACCCAGTTGGTTTGAATTACGGCAGATTGCAGGAGGTGCAGCAGGAGCACTGGAGCGCAGAGGATGGGGCACGCAGGTTCAAAGAGGACCTTGCCAACAAGACGGACAGCTTGCAGAGGCAGATCGCCCAGCGCGAGAGGCAGCTGTGAGTGATGCGAGAATCACGGCCACCTACCATTTTTCCAAAATACCACCACCTTTTTGGATTCCTGAGTTGAATCTGCCTGGACCTTGTTCTTGGGCACAGGCTTCAGCTGGAAACAGACTTAAAGATTGAGAAAGAGTGGAGACAGACCCTGCAGGGTGACCTGGACCGTGAGCATGAGGCTGTGAGCCAGCTAAGCACCGAGGCCAAACAGATTATTGGGCTTAGAAAGGTAGATGGGTCTCCCAAGGGCACCGCCGCTGACACCCAGCACTCAAACCCACAGACTCACACAACCTGTGTGTGTCCATCAAGGATGTGCTCGTTTCATCCTTAGGGTTATGGGATTCTGTGTGCTCTATTGTTCACACCAGTCGGTGATGTGGGTGAACCAGCATAAATCAGTGTGTCTGGAAGCATATCCATCCCCTCGCTTCTGAAGGTTTTCATCTGTTCCATTTCCACAGGAGTTCTATGAGCTGCAGGATGAGAACCAGCAGCTGAAGGGGTTCTGTGAGGAGCAGGAACAAGCCCTCCAGGAACTTGGCTCCAAACTCAGCGAGTAAATCACCATGCTGGACTAGCCAGCCGCTCAGTATCATAATTTATAGTGTTGTAAAGATCAAAGCTTAAGATGTCTTCACTCAGTGGTGTACACATCATTTTACTTATTTTTATTGAGCACTTCATTTTATATTTTTTACCCACTACAGTACCCACTAACTTTAAATTTCTTTGAATGCATGACATTTTCAGGTCAAAGCTGAAAATAGAAGATATGAAGGAAGCTAACAAAGCACTACAGGTGGGCATTAAACAGTGTCATCTGATGAGGGTGCTATCACTGTGATGCTAACCCACACCTGTAGATCGCAGATGGTAATGATGGATTTTTGTAGGGGGGACAGGTTTGGCTGAAAGACCGGGATGCCACACACTGCAAGCTGTGTGAGAAGGAGTTCTCCATCTCCAGGAGAAAGGTCAGTATCCTCAGTGCCTTGCCTCTCACAGACTGAATGGTGCCATTGCTATAACCATGGTCCTAGATAGTGGTGACTGTGGCAAATATGCTTTGTTGTACTGTGGAGGATAAAATGAAGTGGTAGTTTCAGCTTGTGGGTTTGAAGGCGTGACTAAATGCAGTAAAGGTTGATTTGTTAAGCTAATGGTCAACACTCCCATGCCTTCCCACAGCACCACTGCAGGAACTGCGGTGAAATCTTCTGTAACGCCTGCTCTGACAACGAGCTGCCCCTGCCTGCCTCCCCAAAGCCTGTCAGAGTGTGTGACACATGCCATGCCCTCCTGCTCCAGCGCTGCTCCTCCAATGTCACCTGAGGAGTGGGGCCTGCCCCATGTGTCCTCTTAGGCCCCTCCCCTCCAATCTTAACCCTGCTGCAGGGCAGTTGTGGCCAGTCCCCTAAAGGGTCTCTGTGGATGTCGTGTTTACAGGAAGTCAACTTTCACTTACTTCCTTCCATCTTTAGCATGCTTCAGAACCTTGTGCCAAACTGCCCAGATTATTTAACGCTTTGTAATTCATGCCATAAACAATAAAGGGAAGCTGTCCAACCCTCAAGGGTGGACAGGTCCGAAACACTATCTATCCTTAGCAGAACCTATAACCTTTTAACTTTAGAATCGAGTTCATTTGTACCGGTAGGTGAGGGAAGTTACTTTGTGAAAGATTCACATGTGCCTCAAATTTTCAGGTGATGCCACCAAAAGTAACAGGGCAAATATGTCAATGTAAACTTTACTTATGCAGGGAAAAGGGCAGATAGTTTTACCTAGGACCAGAGAGGGGGCTTCACAACGTGTGTGTGTGTGTGTGTGTGTGTGAGGGGTGGGGGTTGGAAGTTTGTGCTGTTACCCAGAAACCACCCCCCCACCCGTTCTGAAAACAACAGCACAAAGCACAGCATCTTTCATTTTCTGTAATTTAATTCTTGTGGTTATGTGAAATTGTTTAAAATTGCACCAATTTAGAAGCCAGATTTTTTTTTCCCCCTAAAACTGGAATCTGTACTGTGGATGTCTGTTTCATGGTGCTCTTTGGTGTAAGAGAACAACACGTGATGTTTTTGGTAAAATAGGTGCCAAATACCATACACATGGCAATGTACTGAAACTACTCTTACTGAGCACTAAACTTTCTGTATAGCTGTATAAACGTTTTATTTAATAAACAGGATTTTTATTTCAAATATGGAATGGGTGAAGGCAATGGGGTAAATTGAATGACTGCACTTACCTAGTGTACACAAACCTGTGACATTATTTTTAACTGCAATTAATATGCTGCCTTTTTCAGAAATTTGTGTACTGCCTATTTGATTACAGTATGAATTTAATATGGTTTCTGTTTAGTATGTTGACCTGTGTACACTTATGTTATTGGATGATTCATTATTACTAAACTTTGTTCTGGGACACAGACTTGGATGTATTTCTGACAGTGGCAGCTACAGTGCCATGAAACTCCTTATTGAGGAATACAGACTTGGTTGTGTATGTGATGGCATCTTGAAATGCCATCACATGGACTTTGCCATGTGCTTTTGCTATGTAACAAAGCCAAGAAGCTCTGCCAGTCTACTAGTTTGACATGTGCGATGGCTCCTGCTCTCTATGCCTTCTTCATCCCAAAACATTTCTCTGCTTCTAGTTAATACCACAGGACTCCGCAGTCAATGGCAGATGGGTCTGTTTAAACAGAAACCTTTCACTGGGAATTAGTAAGCACATTCTCCAAAGCATGGCAGATTGATTAAAAGCTGTAATCTATCGAGACCGTGAAGGGACCACAGATTTTGTATAAAATTTAATGAGCAAAATTTACAATAGCTGGTTAACCTAAGTAACATCAAATATATTTCATTTCCACTCTGAAAATGGGAAATCTAACGTAAAATTCATATGAACATATGGAAAAAAAACATTCCCAAATACAAAAGAAAAAGTTAACTTCAACTTTTGGTTGAACTTGGTGGCTTCAGGTCACCCTCATCTAAAACATGCCCCTCAGTCCACCACCTCTGGACCCCATGCCCCCAGAGTTTCCATAGAAACCACCACTGCGGCCTGCAATGAAACAATGGAAAAAACTGCCTCTGTATCTTAATCTAAACAAGTGGTAAACCAATGTCACATATAATACTGTACCTCCTCCACCTAAGGGCCAGGGCCATATTAGCACTACACAACATAAGCAGATAAAGAAGTGGGAGTGTCTCAAATCAGAGGAAATGAAAGGATACAGATGTTAGTACATCATAATTGATATACACTCTCCCATTGCCACTCTGGCTGACCTTTGACTAAGAAATACCCTTAACTAAAATTAGAGTAACAGCCTGTAGATGAAACCACCTGACTGATTAGGTCTGGTTAAAACTGGTAGAAACATGTTCATTATTCCTGCACATATATGTTCACGCAGGATGTTGTCAGGGAGTCACACTGACCCATTTCAGATCCCCCGCTGGCTGTAGAGTTCAGGAACAGCTCGATGTAACGATGTTCTGAAAAAGCAAAGGGCCCTTCTTAAAATGTCAAAGGAACAGACAGCATGACCCCTTGGGCGGCGACAGAGAGCACACTCACGCATGTGGTTTTTATCTTTAGACATGGCGGACACAGCATCCTCGTGCGATGCAAACTCAACATCGGCCTCACCCGTGGACTTCCCATTGGGCGCCACATCGATGTGCACGCGAATCGGGTTCAATGGCGTGAAGAACTACATGTAAATACACAGACCATAAAGTGAGAAATGAAAAGGATGGCAAAAAACAGACCACAAACTGAGAAATGACAAGGACAGTGAATTACAGAGAAATTCAGTGAAGTGTCCAAGCTAAGTATCACTGTCAGGTATAGTGAAATCAGAGATGCCTGATCTTACTCAAAAATGTATCGACTGGCTGTAAGCTTTCATATCATGGCAATGGCGATCTTACATTGGCAATGTCAGCCTCTGTGGCACGGAAGGGCAGACCGCGCATGTGCACAAAGTGTCCGCTGTGGAAGCCAGAGCCAGAATCGCTACCCCCATAGCCATGCCCCCCTACGCCTGCAGGGGTAAGAAGTCGCACTATCATCGCACCGTTACTGCGGTAACAATGGTCACATAAGGCCATACGAGAAGCATTAGGACACAGGATTGTTGCTATGATGACAGAGCCGTGCCAGCAGCAGGCACGCCAGTGGCCTGCGTGAAAGAAGGCACCCTTACCTCTCCCCCTGTCGCCCCGGACTCTGTCCTCAAACATACCATTGCCAAAACAGTAATTGTTGAAGCCATTGTAGCTGTCAAACCCTCCGTAGCCTAGAGCCATAAACACACAAACTACAGTTATAAACACAAGAGTACATTAATGTGAAAACATGGTGACATTTAATGTATGCAATTCAAGACAGAATGTATCATAAATGCATAAGACATGCATAAACATTCACTGTTAGAAAACTTCCAAGCAGTCACTGTACAGACTTAGAAAGCCCTTTGCTGAAACTGAACTATGACCTTCTTAGAGTCAGTGAACTGAGAAGACAAAAATCACCAGCAGCACTGCTTAAGCATTGTTAGTGATGTTAACACAGAATTCAGCATAAAGGACATACCTCCACTGTAGCCCCCTCCACTGCGCATCTGGTCCAGGAGGCCACTGCCTCTTCCTGGCCCCGGCCCGAAAAACCCCCCGCGACCCATGACGGGTCTGTCATATGGCCCAGGCCGCTGTCCCATCATCCTCCTGGGCAGCTCGTAATAGGCTCGGATTTCGTTCCTGCTGCTCTTGAAGATTTCTATGTACCTATGCCAAGGTCATATGCAGAGGAACTGTGGGTAAAACGCACAGCTTTGACATGACTGGTGCAGCTTTCTGGAACATTTTAAAGGAACACAGGCAAATACATAAAGCGCAACGCTTTTTTAAATGTTTAAATCTGCAGAGTAAATGGGTGAGCACACATGCTTATTTAAGCATACTAGGCCAGTCTTGTGACTTATGGCATAGTTTCCCATGATTTTCTCTCTTTTTTTCTTTTGAATGGGTAGAAGGAGCTGGCCTTGTGGTATCACCATGCGTCAGCCTCAGCGTGCTGTGGAGGGAGTGGGGGCTCTCGAAGACCGACCCCCCCCAGCCCCTCTAAACTGTCTGGTAGCAGCCCTTTCTTACACGCACTCCTCGCAGCCCCACAGACAGATTAACTGTGTGATAGATATTAGTGGTACATGCCCACACCCCCCCGCCCCCCCACATTAGTGATAACAGTATTGCCCAGCCCAGTCTGTCCGTCCCACCTGTGCCCTATCCTTTCCTTGTGTTTCCCAAGAGCCTTTTCTGCTATCTCCTTTGAGGCAAACTGCACGAAGGCCTCCCCCGTGCTCCTCCCCTGGTAGTCCATCGGCAATGTTATCCCATTTGGCACGATTTTCAACCCTTCAACCCAAGGACAGATAACCCCCACAGGGGGGGACATGTTAAAATAAAAGGAAAAAGCCGTGACATCTCCAGAAACCCCCTGCAGTAAACCCCAATCCTCCCCCCACCCCCCCCAATCCCAAAACAACTACAGCTCCTCTATTATGGATTCTTTTATAAATTAACAGCCTGCAAATCATTAAATTATTTATTAGCTTACTATATTTTACAAAAGAGAGACAAGCACACACAGCACCTGTGGGAGAAGATGTGGTGACTTTTGTGGCATTGGCCATTTTTGTGACACCTCTCAGAATGAGCTTTTTTGGCCACGTGGTGTGGAAGCCCCATATAGTGTTGCAGCTCTCAAACAGGAAATTTGCCTCTACAGCGCACCAAAAGCCGCCACACGTCCCGTAATGTGATAACAAAGGAGAGAAAGCATGCCTGCAGTAATTAAGGGACTCAGTTTCCCATTGGCTCATGTGAATCACATGGCTCTGGCTGTAACCCCTCCCCTGCCTCTTTTAGTAGACTATGTCAGCCAACAGCCTCATTCAAACGGACATTTTTTTTTTTTACTAAAATACCAGCAGCGCTTTTGGGTCATCAACAGAGGTGTGATGCTTCACATTAATCTCTGATCGGCAGCCGTCAGTAGCGTGCGGCGCATGGGCACTGCAGCGGCACCATCTACAGCTTCCCCCGTGTACCTGCGAAGAATTGCACGATCTCCTCCTTGCTGCAGCCGAAAGGCAGGCCCCGCAGGCGCAACATACAGCCGCTGCAGCTGTCGTAGTCGCTGGGGCCACAGCGCTTCAGCACCCAGTCCATCTCGCTGCGATTCGACTTAAAGACTAAAAGGGGGGACAGCGGGCGGCAAAGCCAGGCCCAGAGTCTCGGGTTAGGCAAAAGGTGGGGCTAGTTGCAATGCCATGACATGATAAACAAGTATGCTTCCTGAAAGTACCAGCACAGGAAAATCAGATCAGTTCCACGTTACACATCTTTAATGGTCCCAAAAGGGCCTCTTAGACTCCATATTACTAGAGGCCAGCAGCCCTGACAATTCCTGCCCCGTCCCTGTGTCAGTTACTGAGTCCTGGACTGAGACACTGAGCACAACCCTGGGATTTACATGATTGACCCCAGCACACCATGATGGAGCTCCATAACAGAGCTTGCTTCTCAACGCACCTTCAATGTAGCGATGGCCCATGTACTTTCGATCCTTAGCAATAGCATTCTTGAAGTCATCCGCTGTTTTCAGCTCAATGAAGGCTTCTCCACTTGGCCTGCCCTCTTTAGAATAGGTAAAGCACACACCGCTCACCCCGCCCACAATTTCACAATCTGCAAACAGAACACAGGGCTTCATCTGCAGCCATTTTGGACCCACTCAGGTACAGCACCATCACAAAGGGACAGCTCTATACAAATGGGCTCAGCTGCTCAGTGGAGACACTGCAACTCACCTGAGAAAAAGCTAGCCACTTCCTCCTGTGTACAGGACCAGGGCAAGCCCCGAATCCGCACCACAAAGCCCTCGTCATTAAGAGACATCTCCTCACTCCTGTGCAAAAACTTGGGAGGGGGGGCATATATCAGATTTGAAAGGTGGCCCGCAGAAGCTGGCAGCAATAATTATATACATCACAGAAAACTTAATTTTGTATTATTACAATGCTGCTGTAAACTGCATAGTTTAATTTTGCTAAAATTTGCTCAGAATTTTCATTGAAGGGTTCCAAATTGCTCATTCAGCAAAATTCCCATTCTGTTCACTACCACTGGTATGATAAAAATATGAATATCTTAAAATATTGTTAAAAAAAAAAAAAACTGGGGGACCTAAATGTTAGCAGCTAATTATACTACCAGCTTGTACCAGCAGCTTACTATGTACAGTATGTATTGTCATAAATATTATGACAATGTGACTTTTGTACCATCATGTGGACAGCAATTATGGCAGATTTTGGCCTGAGTAATCATTTATGTGCATGTTTTAATACTATGTTCTAAAAAATGGTAAGCTGTAGCTGACCTGACTTTAACCTGACAACAGTCAATTTTCTCTATTCAAAGAGACTAAATAAATGTAAATTCTCTTTTTCAGTAAAGCCACAGCCTGTTATATTTGAGGACCTGTTTAAGGATGGCTCAACCATGCTGACAAGTCCAAGCAGCAGTCTTTCTAGTGGGTTTATCATGGACACGTGAACATGGAAACAACCCAGAAAAGTGATTGGGCGATCAGCTAATTAATTACGGAGACTCATAGGGATAAAACCATAGAATGTCACAGTGTGCACCACTGCATTAACCGCGTTACTTTGGTTGTGCATGCAAATTTTAAGCTACCATCTCTGCCAGTAGAATCTACTGACAGTTCTAATTCAAGGTCTTAGATTTAAGAGTTAATTTTACCGTATCGCCTATTCACTAGGGTTGCCGTGATTACTTGGCGTAGTCGATGACGTTGACACTGGCCAAATTTAATAAGCATAAAGATATGCCGAATGCATACAGATTACTAACTTTTGGGCATCACAATACACATCTCATTAATATTTCAGACATACTACTAATGTGCTTATTGAATTGTGGGTGAAAATAATGTCCGTACAATGCTGAAAAGCTAGTGTCAATTATCTAAAGCCCTGCAATGCAGTGATAATTTCGTTGACGAAATATTTTCGTTATAATTTTCGTCAACGACAAATTTTCACTGACGAAAACGAGACGATGGCTAAATAAAAATTAAGTGATGATGACGAAAACTATAATAAAAATATATTGACATTTTCGTTAACTAATAAAAACGAGACGAAAATGTGAGTGAGGGACGTTTT